GTACTAGTTTTGTCATACGTGAAGTCGATCATCTCTCTGTGCCCCCCCCCCCCCCTTTCCTCGTTCCCCCGACATCGATGGCTTACCCAACCAGTTACCTGCCTCATTGTGGCTAGTGTGGGAGTAAAGGTCTTATTGAATCTCTAAACGTGCGATGACGTACTTTTTCTCTTTTTTGCTCTTTCTTTTTTCTCTTTTTTAAATGCTTTACTGCCAGAAGTCGTCTTCATATGAAGATAATCCAACCAACCAACCAACCAACATACCAGCACCTTGAGATTCAGGTAGAAGATGCATGCATCCAACTGCCTTTGAGAAGACCTCTAAACCTCAGGAGAAGTAACACTAACGTTAGTTGAGGTGATGATGAACGGTATTGCATGCCTAGGTCTACAATGATAGATCGTTCTCTGTGTGTCGGTCTACCCCAAACTGTGCGCAAGAAGTCTGAAGACCTATACACAATGCAAGGAACGACAACAGAATGCAGAGCACCGCATGCAGAACAGTAGCGTTGTTCTGAGAGTTGCTGCTGCGATTACTCGTCCCGGGCCCAGTCTGTAGCGTCGCACATTTTCATGAGCCTTACAATCATGACATTGTAGAGCGTACATACTTGCACATAGTCATTGTAGTTTACGAAGTAACTGACAATAATAATTATAACGATGATGCAAGGCGATAGGAAAAACAGACGGAAGTACACTGGTCGTACTCGTGGAAGCAACAATGATTTACACAGGAGTGTGTGGATCTGAATGTCTTTGGCGTCCACAAAATCAACGATGATGTCACAAACCTTGCTCCGGAAATCAAGCGGGAGTATGGTTTGCAGCCGGCTAGCTTGCGCGATTTATTGACATGTTGAGTGCACGTACAATCTACTAACCCGGACGCAGTACTGCCAGTAGTCACCGCGCACCCGCAGCCTAGCCACAGGTGATATGCCACTCGTGCCATGTACAGATCGAACTACACCACAGATCTACTGGCTGAGTAAATGTAAAGGGCATTGCCTAAATCATTCCGAGGTAGAGAGGAATCTTTCCTTGCTGGCGTTCCTTTCTTGTTGTTACGAGAAAACTCAAACGATACCGTAGCGAGTGCTTTCCGCCGGACAAGATGCCCACGCGGGGGCCTGTTTGCCCACCGGCGGAGATGGGCAAGGACGGTGTTTCCTGTCGCCAGTCAGGTAAGACATGATTGTTAGAAGGTTCTGTTGGGTGAGACAAATTTATTGCACAATCGAGCTCGAGCCAAGAAGTGTGCGGTTGATGGGAAGTGTAGGGTGAAACGAAGCAGGATGAATCAGCAGTGGTGCTCCTCGATGTGTTTTCTCATGAGAAAATAGGAGAATCGATGCGATGGCGCCTGGCGTAGTGAAACGCCTGTGGTACTTGTACTTGTTACTACCAAAATGATCCTGAGAAAGGTATTGACCGTGATGTGCATGCCTATTGTGGGCGATTCGCTGTTGTAGCAGGGGTGATCTTCTCGCTCATGCCACCGTCTTCAGCTCACGAAGAGATATCAGAGACCAGATTTTGATCCCTGGCCAACCGTTCCAAGAGCGACAGTAGAGGTCGAGTCATAAGGCCTGGTTTGTGTTTTGGATGTTCACATAATGGCGGTTATTGCACATCGGACGACGGCAGATTGCTGCGCGAGTTCAAGGACAGATGTCTGAAGATGCCGCTGCTGTCGGCACTCCTGTTTGTACTGCGATTGCATCCGCTGGCCGACGATATGCGTTGTGCATAGGTAAAAAGCGACGGTCGACATCGAGAATGCAAACCACTCCGCCAATGTTGCTCGTAATTCGTTACTGTGTTCGCCCCGGGTGGAATGGTGGAGGCTGAACCGAGCCAGTTAGAACTTCGAAGGGGGCGCTATTTTGTGTGTCATCTGCCTGCAATGTCATGTAGGATGCATGCGAACAGTGGAATACCAATCGTCCACTCAAATATCTTTAGTTCAAGGCCCTTCCTCGCAGTTGGTTGCAAAGGAGAGAGGATAGAGAGAAAGTGAGAGAAAGGGATCATCAAATTCCATGGATTTGGAAGCACTGAAAATGTCATGCATGACGCGGCACTGGCTATGAATCAATCGCACAACCAAAGGAAAACTAATTCAACCGTTCTTTCCTGAATACAGAAGAAAGGGATTGACAGCTGTCGCCAGAGCGTGTCAACTCGCTCATACTAGTTTCTCTAGCTCTGCACGCAAGGCATGCAAGTGACTGAATCCTTGGAGAAGCGCTGATACGCTGTCACTGGGCAAGGGCTTTTTGACGTCTTTGCCTACCTTTCCAGGTGCATCTGTCACGCAGAAGACAACTAGCCCAGAGTACCACTGAGCACAGGACTCGTGACAGGAGCCCTGTACTACCATTACTACAATACTAGTTCACAATCAATCAATATTCGTAACCCTATTCATGAGTTTAGATTGAGTGGATCTGCATGCCTGCTGGCTGGCCTCCTTCTGTGTCTGGGCTGATGCTGTGTTGTCTGGAAAGACTACACTGGCTGCTCACAGACAGCATCCATAAGGCAGCCTTCCCTGTTGCACAGAATAATTATGCCAAGTCCATGCACGGGGTCTTGAGCTGGGCCAGCTGATCCAGGTCCAAATGAGAATGCATGCTGTTGAGTCTGAGCCAGTGTCCTGGCAAATGCCGAGCAGATCTCCATCTGAAGCAGATGTCAGAGCAGAGCATTGACCATGTATGGAGTGCACTATAAGGGAAGCCGTGCTCACAACGGGCAGCCCAGACTTCACAGGCATTCTCTCCTGTTCCTTGTTTAGCCGGCATGCAGTCTAAACCTCTCCTGGCCGTGCTCTGGGGAACCCACGCACAGGCTTGCAACAGTGTTGGCAAAGACGTACCAGGAAAATGGAGGGAAGTACACACGGCATTCATGATTGTGACCAGACTTGGCATGAGAGGTCCACAGTCACTGGTTTTGCCTGTAATCATGTCTCTAGATGGATAGATAGATAGATAGAGAGAGATTGATAGAGAGAGAGAGAGAGAGAGAGAGAGAGAGAGAGAGAGAGAGAGAGAGAGAGAGAGAGAGAGAGCACCCCTCCCAAGCAATAGTTGCTGCAATGTGTACATGTACTGTTGGATTTGAATATAGCAACCTCTTCTGGCCATTGCAGGCTGGGCAAAGCCTTTGCTTTCGGTCAAAGTCGACGACCTTGCTGCTTGTCTTCTCCTCAGTTAGACTCTAAAAGTGTGTCCTCCAGAGAACACAACTGTAACCCATTATTCCAATAATTGGCCTGCTGAGCAGTTGTTTGGTCTTCACAACATTCACATGACTGTGTTATCCAGGCTGCACGGTGGACTCCCCGCCACAGATGACGAGGTTCACGCGCGAGTCCTCAGGCAGCAACAGCAGCAACGACAGTGGCCATGCAAGCAGCCAGGAGGCAGACTACGTCGGTGCCGCCGCTAGAAAAGAAAACAAGGCCGGCAACGGTGTGTTGACACCACCACCGCGGCCTCCGGTGCAGTTCTGCGACGACGACGACTCCGATATGGACACCGTTGGCAGCACGGAGAGCCTGGAGAGTGCATTGGAGTATGACCGGCGTATTCGTGACATCTTCGAGCTTCTTGACATTGACATCGAGTCTCTTGGGGAGCAGACTGGTATGTGTATTGGATTTTAGCTATGCACCTTGATATAGATGTATTGTACGCTTTGCAGAAGTTCAAGCCCTGTAGAAATCTGGCAGATTGCAGCAGAGAGGGTTAGGTGTTTGCCGTTCAAAATTGTATTGTGCCTGAGCTGTTTATGCTACAGATTTATTTTGAAGAGCAGCGATAAATTAGCTCCCCCCCTCCTCGCCTCAAAAGTTGGAGAAAGACGTTGGCTTTCCGTGTAGGATTTACAAGATTTGTTCAACTTCCCCATGAATAGTCAGCACACAAATGGCTAATATGCTCTGTGCGCATCTACGGGCTATACAGTCAACTTTGCGTATAACGACACTCGGCGGGGCATCAGAAAAGTGTCCTTATTCGCGAAGTGTCTTTATACCCGAAGTATCCTTATATGCATTACAGTTAGATGGGACACAGCTCTGGGCATGGAAATTCTGTCGTTATTCGCGAATTGTCGTTGTATCCGGAGTCGTTATTGGCAAAGTTGACTGTAGTACAAATGTGGGCCATCTTTGTAATGTACTTCAGAAGTACACACACAATTTATTGGAGTGATCTCTTCAAATCCACTTTACGACCGCCGTGGCTGTTAACCCTTTGCCGGTCTAACTCAATGTATGTGAGGGGTGGTCACGCAAATACATGTACACACAACCAGCAATAACTCAAGAACCATGTGATGTAGGTATGGGTAAACCATATATTTTCAAAATCTGTATGCCTGAACGCGTCCAGAAAATTCAAATATGACTAGGTCCAGGCAAGGATAGGGCCCATGGTAGCCCTTCAAGTTGAGAGAAAATACAATTGCGAATGAAATACACGAATATCACAGCACGAACGGCGTACCAAGTTCGTGATGGAGCTGAAGTCGTACGATAAACAATCAGGTAAAGGCTACGTCTTTATAAGAAATGTAGGCTCTCTACAATACCGTCATTGAACACCAACACCTCGCCATCGGCGATACGCCAGCAGCAGCAATTCCCATTCCACGATATCGCAGTTTCGGGTTGTTCATCTCAGCGCTGCTCGCGTCAGATTCACTCTCGCTCAGACGAGTACTCAGGCGCGAGCTACGCATGCCGTGATTCTCACGGCCAGGCGAATCAGCTGATCGCACCTGACGAGTCCTTGTGACAGTCGCTGTCGCCGTGTCGGCAGCAAGAAGGCTTCCTCTCAGTTTGGAGAATTTTGTTTCTTCATTCGTGGACGATATATTTTTGAACTAGCAGGACTCAACGGAGCTCTTTTTCTCAACACACTACACTGCAAAACCTCCCGGGAGATCCAGCCTGGACTGGTGATGTTACTGCTCTCAGAACGCTTGTCAAACACGGCCCCAAGAGATGCACTCGCATTCTCGAAATGCGCGCATGGCGGATGGTCGTCTTTTCCAATTTCAACAAACTTCAGTCGATCGATACGGCAAAAATTTGTATGGTAAGCATGGTTGTTTTGTACATCGTCAGAAAGCCTTGGACCTCAGCTACGCGTAGAGCGCCATTTTAGCTGTCTCCTAGCAACAAGACCTCCCAAAAATGAGGGCCAAACGTACCGATACTATAGTATCGGTTCGCTTATGGTAGACCGGTAAAGGGTTAAATCCTGACAACTTGGGCCTTAAAGCGTTGAATAAATGGTCTGGACATGCATATCTTGCAGAGTTGTCCTATTGCTTCGACGCTTACGGTGCTTCACCAACTGCAATTGTTTCGATGCTGTCCCTAGAATCCCACCCCATGGCTGCGCCAAGCAAGACCTTGGCAAGAGACCTGTTTGCACAGGCCTGCTCGCTGGAGAATATCACGCCAGCCACTCTGATCCCGGCGCTTCAGTATGCTCCGTACAGCGCGTCGCTGGAGGCGGAGAATCGCCATCGCAACCCGCTGCTGCAAGAGGCCTATCTGATCCGCACCGGCCAGGTCCATTTGATCGTAAGCTTAGATGAGGTAAGCACCGTAGGCCTTCCACTGACCAATGCATCATCATGATCCTATTCATCATGACATGGAGCCAAGCTTCCCAGGGTCTGGGGTATACGCCCCTATCTTCCATGTATGTACCTGGATGGATTCCGGTCCGCACATAGCAAGTTTGAGAGCAATTTAGGTAGGTAAGTATTTATTTGAATTCGCAGAACCAATCGGGCGGTGTCGCCTAATCACATGGAAGCGAATGGAAACAATAAATTTATCACGTTTGAAACACCGTGATTTGTGTCTACCCCACATGTTGATGTAAAATTGCTTACTTGTATAATGCAAGGGGTGTGTTGTACCTTCTGTTACCCCGGTTGTACATTTTGTTCATGGCTTCAGGTATGGCAGGGTTTGTTGAGGGCAGGTGCATGCAATAGCGAGCACCAGGCGCTGCGTCTTGTTGACAGGCTATTCAGCGTCCAGAACCAGCTCCGTTTGAATGCTGAAGTTGTCCTGGAAAACAGAAGAACCTCGATCCAGGTCAGTCAGGCTTTCTCCAGCAACGTGACATGTATGCCACGTGATACATACAGTGATTGTATGCAGGGAGAGGAGCTGAGGGGACTGCAGTGTGCATATGCTGTAATTTTTCAGATGTGTTCTCGTTAGCTGGACAAGGGATTCAACTAAATCATCATTGTGAGTTTCGAAGTCCGAAGAGAATGTTGAACGATCACTGCTGGGATGATTTTTACACCAAAGCTTAGTGGTGAGCATTACTGGCCATAGCCTTGGTGAGGGTCCCTTCTTTGGGTCCTGGTGATAGCGGTCTATTTCTACTTAGACTTAACTTGTTTCAACTACTCCAACCTTCTAAAAATTCATAGAAAGGAAAAGGACCAAGGAGCTACAAGTTACACTATAATGTCCACTAACACCACCAGTTACTGAACAATCAGCTCATGCGATAACATTGTAGTTCCTTGGTCATTTTTCCTGTCTACATATGTATCCTTGGCTCACCATCCGAGTTCAGTTATGAAATTCATTGTCTTTTTAGTTGTGAAGTACAGATGTCAATCTAGTCTCGGGCAACATATTATTATATTCGACTCTGAAAAGAAGAATGATTCATCATGCTGTCCACCTGCTCCCATTTTGCCTGCACCCTTGCAATTCCCTCTGTTGATCCAGACTGACCTCGAACTGCCTCCCTACTGCTTCGCGCTTCTCTACGACGAGGAGCTGAAAGCGTCTTCGCCACCAGTATCTGACTCGCATGCTTGGCCAAACGGGGAAACCACGATGGACAAAAACGGTGGGGATGCAATGGATGCCGGGCATGAAGACTCTGGGCAAGCAGCTACAAGTGGGTCTGACGAATGCACCAGATGTCAGATAAAGGAAAGCGGAAAAGGTGAAGCTCAACACCCCAAGGCTACGCTAGTTAGAGAAGTGGCTCAGATCATGATGAACGGTATACGAGGTGTTCTGCCGTCCCCCATACCCAACACTGCCCACGCAGCCAGTGGTGCTGGATCACCGCAGACTAGCAGGGCTCGCCTTGGCGGCCTTGCAACAATCGACGAGCTACCGGCAGCAGACAACGAGGGTGATTCCTGCCCCAATGCAATGCAACGCCCGTCATGCCAAATCACTGTCCAGCGGAAAGTCTCCGCATGGTCTGCACAGCCCAGCATCGACGTGAGCAAGCCAAAGGCCAAGCGCCTATGGAGCACATGCAACCAGCCCAACGTCCGTCGGGCAAGGGCCTCCTCGTGGCATGTCGTCAAGCAAGCGAGCGGTGAACCTGTGCTCTCTCAGCCGGGCCTGTCCACGGCACAGCGCCACCAGGCAAAGTCGGGCCAGGTGATGTTCAACATGCCCACCCAGTACGCTGAAGACAAACTGTCACTACGTTACACGGAGCATACAGGGGTAAGTTCCACTTCAGGTACTGTTGATCTCTTACGGCATACAGTCAACTTCGTTGATAACGACTGCGGATATAGCGACAATTCGCTAACAACGACAGACTTTTCATGCCCAGAGCAAAGTCCATTCTACCTGTATACATATAATGAGACTTCACGAATAAGGACACTTTTCTGATGCCCAACCTAGTGTCCTTATACGCAAAGTTGACTGTACACAGGGGCGTAGCACCCGTTACGACTGGTACGACCATGGCTTTTCGAAAAGTGTGGTCCGTCCGGAACGTGCAAAACCGCAATAAAAAAATCAGGATCCATCGATGCATATGCACATATGCGCATCAGACTTTGACCTTCTTCTAGACTCGTAGATCTGCCATGCATCTAGATATCTACAGACGCACTGAGTACTGTACATGTACTTGACTCGACTCCACATGCACCAGGCGCGTGCGCCGGTGCCCTTCAAAGGGGGGGGGGGGGTTCCGGGGGCCTCCCACGCGAAATTTTTCAAAAAATGAAGCAAAATCCTGCATTTTGAGCGAAAAAAGGGGGGGGGGGGGTTCCGGGCACCCAGGAACCCATACGGCGCACGCGCCTGTGCACACTGAACAGTCCCAGAACGCAGGATTTTGTGTCTTTTTTTACAAAATTTTCCCGCGGGGAGTTCCTCCGGACACCCCTTCGACACGGCCTTCGGCCGCGCCGACCTTCGATCGTACCACTTCCAAAACCTCTCCTACGCCCCTGGTACAGTAGTGCCATGGGTCATTTGACCTATGGCACAGAGTAGTTTTGCAATAAAGACACAGAGCTATAGGTTTGGACCCTTTTCACTGAAAGGGTAAATGAACATTGAGGTGATAAAGAGAGAAGGACAAATGTTACGAGTTATGACTAACTGTTCACCAACATTGAACATTAAGGGATTGCCATTTGTACATTTTCTTTGCAGGTGAAGCTGACAGTGCAGTTGCTGAGTTTCTCGGGAGACAGCGGCGCAGTGAAGGTGTCGATTGTCAACCGCCGGACTAGCGGCAGTGCCTTCTTCTGCCTGCGCTTCTTCGCACACCATTGGCCCATGCACGTGCAAATCGTCTTCCCGCTTATGTCCGGTGTGGAGGAGCTGAGAGCCGAAGAGCACTGGGAGAAACGCGTGGAAGTGCACGGCGTGGAGGAAGACAGCTGGTGTTCGTTTGAGCTGTTCTCGGCTGCGTCGCGGCCCGAACCGGTCTGGGGCATGCAGCGCGTCTCTGTGAAGATGACCATGACAAAATCATGGTAAGGCGTGGTTCTATGACTTTTTGGGTAATGAATCTATGGCTTGGTGAAACCTACATTATAATTATAATGATTCGCAAAATTTGCCGAGAGTATTTGCCAAGTGCCTGTTGATTACTAGTACTTCGAAGCAGTACATTACAAAATATCTTTGCTTCAGTTGCTACTTGACTATAGAATAGACTACCAATGCTTCTATAGAGTACGGCCATCTCCAGCAAGAAGCTACAGTTCCATTATAGTACCGTCAGAGTGGTAGAGAAAGATGACTAGCCTACTGACCTGCTGTTTTTATTGGCTGCAGTGTTTGCATTGTGCCTTCGACTTCGAAAATTCCACTGGGCATTACCCATTCACGGTGTTTGCTCTTGATGTGTGCACCCCAGCAGTACACGGTTCATGTTAGTAGGGATGTTTTCATGCACCGTAGAAACCTTCTGTGATGGATCTGGGTGTAAGTGGAGCAGGCTTCTTCTATTACATCAAAACACATTGAACCAAGGCCGACTACCTCAAACCTGCGTCCACTTTAGACCTAGTTTTACACTGCAATAAAATGTATATAACATGTATGACAAGGCTAAGCATGGGTCATTGACCAATGCAGGGCGATTTGATTCCAACTCACAGAGCTTTTTCGTCCTCTGCTTCTTTTGCTCTTTACCCATCAAATCGTCTGATGTCAACGCGCTATACATTGCACACAGCCTGCAATCGGTGGACAAGGATGTAAGTGCGACGACTGCAAGTGACAACTTAGTGGAGTTGCTTCTTTTTTTTAAATATTCTTAATATATACTATGTGCGCATCCTTACAGAATAATGGAGGTTATGAAAGAGACAAAGACAAAAGACAACAAAGGAATAGTAGGTGCTGCAAGAGCTGCTGTTTTTATTGTGTTGCATGTAATTGTCACCGACTAGCCGGACAAGCCTAGTGTAGAGCCACTCTCTCACTGATGCACATCAGACATAGATATGGCCTTACATTTCAAGTTGAAGAAATGCACACCCTCCACTGTCGGGCAATCTCAGGATTCAATGAGTGCATGTGTCTTCTGCACTACCACAATACCAGGAAAGGCCATGTTCCTTTTTCAGCTTTTGATTCCTTGATACCTGTTCTGCAGGATGCCATCTCAGCCCTGGTTTGTGCCATATTCTCGGCGGTGCATGCCGATTTCACCACGGCAACACACCGGGAAGTCGAGCGCATGGTGTTCGGCTCGTTCCGCCTGGAGGTGTTCCAGCGGCCGTCGCTTCAGGCATTCCTGTGCGCCGTGCTGGCTGTGGTGCAGACACGACGTGGAGATCCACGCGGCTCGCTTGTTCTCTGCACGAACGTCTACAAACTGCGACAGGTGAGCCCGTACCTGGAGATCAAAATGGTTTGATGCTGATGCTTGTAAAGCATGCAGGGAGAAAGCAGTTACTATGACAGTCTTGGCTTTATTTTGTACACCTACGTCCACATTGTCGCGAAGTTGCAAAGTGTTATGCATGTCTGCTGTATGTACCCATTGTAATACAGCCCGTTTCAAGTATACGTCGTATCCATAAACCTCATATCTATGCCTGATGATTGCCTTTTGCATGAATCTTGAAGTAACGCCATCAGTTCTCAAGTTGTCCTTGTTCTACATTTTTTGATCCTTGAGGGTGGTGGTGCTCCTCTGGATGCGGAAGACTTGGCCTCTTGTCGAGTCTCACGCGAACGTGTGTTTTTTTATTTCTATTTTTATTTACAGATGGTCACATCCAGTGCACACGAGCCCAATGTCTGGGCGCTGGTTGATGTCCTGATGTCCAGCGTCGAGAAGGCTGAGCATGCTTCTCCGCCACCCTCTCCACCGGCACACGGTGCACCGGTCAACGAGAACACGGGAACAGCGACGGCAGAGTATTTATCTGAGCCGGGTAAGCGCAAGTTCTGTAGGTGCTTTTAGATGGTCTGTTTCAAATCACATACTGTAAGACCAGATATTTTAACGTCAATTAACCGTTTAGGGGTCATAGTACGGATTAATCCGTATGTCACACATGAAGTGCTTTGATCACCAATTTTTGCCAATTCTTTGACTTTTTTTATCGGATTTTTGGCAATTTGATTCTCAAGACAATTTTCTACTCGAAACCTGAGTTTTCTAGGTAGGTTGCAACTACAAGTTTTGAACTACAGGCACGAAGAAAAGTTGACGTTCAACTGTCAGAGTATGCACCAGCTCAAAAGTGCAGTAAAATTTTGTTTTAGATTTGGGTCATTCTGTCACTCTTTGCAGGAAACCACGATCAACTCTGTCACACCAGATCACATTACCAGAGACTATTGGCAATCTGTTTGGTCCGCTCTGACCTTGGGTTTGGGTTTCCGTCCATTTTGCAACCATTTCCTACATTTAGAGCAAGGGCTGGCAACCTCACATTGTCAGTATGAGCTCTGGTTTTCTCTATTGGATTCCTTTTTCTGTCCTTGTTCGTAAAAATATAGGTGTTATGTTAGTAATTGTGAACGGTTCGGATATTTGATACTTTTTAATGCCGCCTCAAATTCGACGAACAATCCCCAAAACAATTCGACCCCTAAAGGGTTAAAGTTAACAATCTCCGGATTTTTGTGGGTTAGCGAGGTGAAATTCTAACAAATTCCGTTTCAAAACCGGCAAATGACTACATGTACGTATAGTTTTGTACAAAATGACATCAAATGTTAGCGGATTTTTTAAATCCGTTAAATCTTTAGAATTAAATAGTCGTTAACATTACTGCTCTTACAGTACTAACAGTGGTCGTCTGATTCCCAGCCAGGATAGTGGTGTGTTCAAGTGCTGTATACAGTATGTGCTTTGTTGAATGGGTAACATGGACCACGTACCGCCAGGATCTGTTTTAGAAAGGCATGTTCTGATTTTGGTCTATAATTCGTTAACCTAATCTGAATCCCACAATCAATCCGCGTTGTGTTTCCCAGGTATCGTCTCTCGGAACCACGAATAAGAACTTTGAAAGGTTGCTGTCACCGGAGAATGCACCCAGTGTGCTGATGTTGACTGATGATTGTGCAAGCATGAAACTCAGAGTACATGTAGCTGCAAAATAGCCTTGCCGGTGTTGTTCTGTGAAGATTCCCGTCAAAGAATTCTATTTTGCTGATTTATTTTTGACCTGCAGAAAAGCAGTATTCCTGTCAGGATGAATCAAACTCACCAGCCACCCAAGCAGAGAAGATCCTGGACCTTGAGAGTATGTACAGTGCAGAAGAGCAGACGATCAAAGCCACGGTTCTCGGTGGAGTGGCCACGTTCGGAGAGGAAGATCAACTGACGGTACGCAAACATCGTGCCAGTAATACAGATGGAGCACTATCATGAAGTCACAATGACTTCATTACAGTGTTGCTTAATGAAATCCAGTCGTGTCACTCAAGTACGCACAGCCCTGGATCTGTGAACAGTGGGCTGTGAAATGGTGCAAGGTGCAAACTTCAGTGACACGACTGGATTTCTTTCGAGCAGCACTGTACATTGCACAGTGCCTCTACTTGCAGGCAGCAACTGAAATCGGACACGACGAAAAGTAGAGGCACTTGCGCTATGAGCACCTGGATGTGTAGTGAGCATGGTTCTGCTCCGGCCATGATGGCCAAATTCATTTCCAAGACACGCTTTCAGTTGCCGCGGATTGTATCCACGTTACCAGGGTATATTAGTATTGGATAAGTGCATGTGCCCTCACACACACACACACGGATAGTCTATGAAGCGTGATCACTAGACACAGAGTCCATTGTGAGCTTAACGGGATGTTAGAATGTAACGAATGTTGGAGTTCCCAATTTTTTATGGAAAGCTCTAAAAATTATTCGTGCTAAATATGAGGTGTTGCAAGAAGAAGAGTGTAGTCACCGGTGTCACTGTGAATGTCCTCTCTCGGTAGGTTCACCTGGTGGTGGAATCTCAAGCGTGCCAGGCCTTCAACGTCTCAGTAATGGTCTACGACCAAAACGATCTAGCGCTGAGGTTCGCCGCTATCGGTATAAGCAGCATTGGACGGCCGCTTCTTCTGGCAGAGCTGCGTATCCTCGAGGACAATGCTCAGGCATGTCAACTGCAGAGCATGACAATCAACGGGAAGATTCCGTCGAGCGTGTGCGACGCGACCGACCGCGCGCGCCTCGGGCTGAAGCCCAGGCTGATGGTGTTCCGTGAATCGGCCGCTCAGTGGGTGGATGTCAGTAACAGAGTACAGCATGCCGTAAGTCACTCATACAATGGTGTTCGTGTATAGATTTCGAGCTTGAAATAGTACTGTATCGTGCATGTCAATGTATTGTTCGGATACTAGTACTTATTAGCACTGAACGTTACTTTTAATCTTCTAATAACAATCTTCTGGATAATGAGGCAGTATTCAATGTAGGCTGTCAGTGTTGTGCCCTGTTATCGCACGTACTGACCGCCTATTGTCTTGTTACATTCGTGGATAGTTGCTTCATCGCTCGTTTCCATGTGTGTTCTTCTTCTAATTTGTATCTTGCAGGTGAAAATCCGAAAGAACAACACCTTCTCCATCACCTGTCCATTCTACCCGCGTATTGCGCTAATGCTGGTGTCCTCGTTCATCGAGTCGCTCTCCTACTCTCTCCTGGATGCACTGACGGTTCCGCTGGCTATAGGCAATGCTCAGCCGCCGGTTCTGTTCCGTGTGTACATGAATCTGGATCGGCTCTGCCACGGCCTTCACCGGATGCTGTTAACGTGCGAAGATGCACAAGGTATGTCGTGATCACTAAGCTAGAGATAGACACAAGTCCAAATGGTTGTATTGAACTACAGTCAATCTCGAGCATAACGAACTCAGGGATAACAGTGATTTGTGAATACACTAGAGAGAGAGAGAGAGAGAGAGAGAGAGAGAGAGAGAGAGAGAGAGAGAGAGAGAGAAAGAGAGAGAGAGAGAGAGAGAGATTGGAAGCTGTGTCGCAACTCTGAGTTTCACGTATAACTACGACCATCAGGCAACTGAGGACTGCAAAACAGGCAGCCTGAACGTAAGAGGGACAAAGGTGAGAAATACGGAGGGGAATCACAGCGTACAAGTCAATGCATGGATGCAGCCTCGTTCACCATGCCATGCAGCAACTTGACCCCAAATTTTGGAAGTTGATGATTCCTACATTTATATCTATATCGTGACCTGGAGTCACGTTGCTTGGACGGTGAACACAGCTGACCAGACAAAGAATGATAACTATGGGTAGCTTGTAACTCCTTATTGCATCACCAGACTGAAATTTGCTGCTTAATAACTACCTTCGTAATAAGTGTTTTCACAACCAAGACAACTAAGAATTTAGTTTGCTGACCATTTCTTTATCTTGCTTTGCTCTCAGCTAAGCCACAAGATGGTCTTGCAGGAGAGAGCATGGCTGTTCAGTTGCCAAGAGGTACGCTAGTACGGTTCTATGCCAACGGGAACATTGCGCCGTGCAGCGAATTCGGTGAAGAAGACCTGTCCACCACGGCCGTACGTTTTCCAGGCAAGCAACAAGAAGATGAAGAGCAACGCAAGACATGCTACATGACAAGAGAGAAGTGGGTTGTGGTGGTGGTGAGGCAGGGTGAGGAGCAGCCCTGTCCGATCCGAGGACGTGTGCTCGTTCATGCCGGTGAAGCCGAAAGGTCAGGTGCACTGCTGGCTGACTTTGCAATCTCATGGCCGAGACTTGGCTAATGCTCTTCTTCTGTACTAGCCCCCCCCCCCCCCCTCCCAGCTATACTGGATAGCTACACATGGATTGCTTACTGTCCTTTGTCTGCCATGTATTCCTCCTTCCTGTCTCTCATGGCAAATACTCCACGCCTCTGACCTCGTATGTTTTAGGGAACTTCCTTTTAGAGGCATGCATTTGCCCGGTTTGGAGAATCCTTGAAATGTCAAAGCCAATATCAACACAAATTCCGTACGGTTAGTTAGGGAGCAGTGATATAGATTAACTTAAAGCCGTATTATCTACTCCATTATCTCTATCACGGCCTCCAAGCTCAGCATTTGTGACATATTTATGATCGGTTGGGTAGAGCATAATGCATCTATTGAATCCATTTCACGTGTATTTTGACCAGTTCAAATGCTTGCAATGCAAGAAATACATCTCTTTACAAAGTAAACAGTGCACCTCTTGCTATCTGTGTTTTCGCACTGCCACCTGGACACCAGTGCTCTGTCCTGACTGTACTCTCTCCACAACATACACAGCACCACAAGTAGCTAGAAGAATTTCAAATCCTTCCGCCATTCTTTTTAAGCCACATGAATCGAACATGCTCCACATGCTTGTCTTTGAACGAATGCAACGCCATGCATTCGTATGAATTTTCTTTTCTGCTCCTTCACTATCTAGCATAGTACAATATCTTGATTGCACTGACCAATAATTCTTCTGAAGGTATCAGGTTTTTTTTAGCAGTGCTCTTTACTAGGGATGTTCACAGGCAAGGGTGTGGGGACACGGTACGGTCACTACGGCATTGACCGTACCACTGTTTGCCCCAGATACCCCTTGAATCAATAAAAATCACCGTCACCTGGGCTTTAAGTTTCCAAAATGTTCGGCTCCGCCACCCCTCCCACACGAGTTAATTATACTTCAGGTGGATGGCCGTACCACACTAAAATATCTTCCGACGCCCCTGAATTGCTGAAAGGTATAAGGGCACCCGAGTTACCCGTGGACTTCACAGTGGTCTTGGATGAGAACGATCATCAAAAACCGGGTTATGTCCACAGGCATGTGCACGCAAGCACGTAGAGTGCTGAACTGTATGCGGCAGCCTTTGTGCTTAGAAACGATCAACTCGGATGGTGAGCCAATTTTTCAAGCTTATTTGAAAGTTAAGTAATATGCGCTGTTGTCCTTATTGTTCGTGGGCGCCTCTCTCGCTTCACTGCTATCATACGGTATTTCAACAGTAATATAAAAATAAGGCTATGTGCTAGGGTAACCATGTTGCCTGCAGAAAATTCCCAGAACCCAGTACCTAATAGAAGCACACGTACACCCACACAGCCCTACATTGGGCACTGGCTGGTTGCTAGTCCATTTACTGGCCACTCTGTCAGTCGTCACTCTGTGAATATGTTAGCTGCTCCCGGCTAATGATGCCCCCTCACACCGGAACACAGGGGTTTTATATGATTGGATAATTTATAGAAGTATTCGACAAGAATGTAGACAGAAGGATAACAGGACAACGACAATTCAAGACTAGACTACAACTTAAGAACAGAACAGAACTGGAGACCCACTGGAGCATGCGCTCTTCTATATGTGAGTCTCGTTGCCAAGGGGAACGAGCGGGAAACACGAATAGTGAGTATACAGGTCGTAGCATACATACACCTATTACAAATACGAGAAATAGGGAATTGAGAGCGCTCGACCCTAACTGGCCTAGGCATGCATACCATACATGTCCGGATCTGTGTTCACGCCCCAAAACCACACGTGACAGAATCTGACCCGGAAGTGTTTTTGTTCTCCACTCTTTTAGGACGCCGCAGAATAACAAAGAGAAGCACAAGTGTACCGGACCGCCATGACTACCGGTACCATGGCTACACACATAGACACATGTTTTCCAACTCTCGTACGGCCGTTGGAAAGCGTAAATTCATTTTATTTATTTATTTATATATTTATTTCTGCACCTCGTGGCATATCAAGACAGCCAATTGAATTGAGGAGAGGGTGAGACCAACCACGGAAGAAGAGAAAAAAGAAAATGAAGAGCACGTACACAAAGTGGGAAGGGATTAGCAACTTACAAAGCAATGGGATGCTCAGCGAGCTATGCAGCGGAAGTGGTGACTGTGATTGATTTACTGGGAGATACTGAAGTGCTGTCTGACGAGGGTACGAATTTGGGCATATCTGGAGCTTGTTTAACACTGGGAGGCAGTTGGAGCCACGTGGAGTAGGCGGAAAAGAAAGGGGAATTTACGAATAGGGTAGACCTAGCTAGGGGGAGACGAACGCAGCTTCGGGTGGTGGAATTTAACGGAAACAAATTATAATTCCGCACGGAAAGTATAAGCTATAGACAGTATGGACAGTGGAAGAATGAACAAGTCGGTTACGGATACATTCTTGTCTGGACATACGGCAACGTGGCAAGCGATACTAGATTTACCCTGCGTACAGACAGGCGGACAGAGAGCTAAAGCTGGCCACTGCCAGCCACTATTGGGTTGAGTGCAAATCAGGCACAAATGAAGCAGAATTGAAAAAATATATAGAGAGCTCACTAACGCTTAACTAGTGCAGGTGCCAAAGAATTCCGATAACTCCAAGGATAGGTAGGTGCAACAGCTAAAAGACTCAAAGTGAAATAGGTTGCCCTTGCCTTTTTCAAGTTGTGAACATTTGGCACGAGATTTTAGGCATATATGTACCTACTGATCAGGAGCAGCAGCGTTATTTCCGACAACGCCTTCCTGATCATCTCCATGTCCATGGTGATGGTGTCCATGGTGATGATGGCGGCCGTGGTGATGGTCGTGCCCATGGTGATGATGGCCGCCCGGTCTCAAGTGCCTGTGGCGGATGAAGATGTAGAGAACGGCGACAATCACGATAACGACCAGCAACGAGACGATCACCACTGCCACAATGATGCCGGTGTTGGGAATCGGCGAGGAATCATCGGAATCGCTCGACAATCCAGAATTGCCCGACAGTCCGGAATCGATCGACAGTTCGGAAGTACTGTGTGCAGTGGAGAGCAAGACAGAAGGAAAACGTCCAGCGTGCAATAGATATGAGAGAAAGAAAACAATCAGGCAAGTACATGTACATGTACCCATTTGGCATTTGACTTTGTACTCAATTGAAAACGCTCATCTCTTGTGTGGTTCTTATCCCTACAATGACTGAGCGAATGACTCCCTGATTGATTTTCAGCGCAAGGTAATCCATAATGTGCAACCGTAGATAGCTGAACCACACAACACGAGAAAGACTTAATACTGAGGGATCTCTTTTTTAAACGTTTCGACCATTCTTATACTCTTCAGTCTTCAGAGATGTTCCTTTCATTATGTCTTTCTCATTCTGAAGAGGATATGGATTAGTCGCGACTAAGGCAAATTATCGGCATCTGCCAGTATCACCTCCTGCAATTCTGCAATCTGCAATTTTGAAGTATGTAATGAAACTTTCAAGCTTTCCTGGTATGCCATTATCGGTATACTGAAGTAGATGATACACCATGGAAGAGAATCTGTATTCCGCGCACTCACCTGTCCAATCGCTCAGGCTCGATACGGGCTATCACCTCCTGCATCAAGTACAACAGCAGATAGAAAAGTGGTCAAGAGCGAGTATTTCCTTACAAAGTCACACATGAACACGGTGATCACAGGTTATCTTTGAGCAAACCATATACACCGTATTTCGCAAGGTGAAGTCCGATTTGAAGGTCAAGAACTGACTTCAAGTGTGCTTGCTCCCTTGCACTCATCTTGTGCACATGACTGTCATGCAGGGCAGCCTGAACACATTTGCACAGTCCCGACAAAACAGCACGCATTTTCACTCACAAAGCAACTGTTCAGTACATGGGGTAGTGGTCTACCAGAGCAATCACACTCAAAATATTTGTGAGTGAAAAATACGTTTTTTGCACTCTTTTGCTACGCTCAGCCGTGAAAATACAAAACATTTACAGGCCAGAACCATGTTCCACCATTCCATAGCAGCCACAGTATTCATGAAATGTTTTTCGCCGTACCTTCTCCCAATCTCCGGAGGTGAGGTTCTTGTACCATGCACGCCCTCCAGGTCCTTGGATGGACTGTGTGTCGATGGTGGAATTGCTGGGCTGCGGGTAGGCCCTGCCGTAGGGAGGACGGTGCAGCAGGATGGTGGAGTCCGATGCAAAGCTGCGCACCTTCACGCAGTAGTACATCTCGCAGCCGTTGTTCACTTCAGCCAGGTGCTTGACATAGCCAGTCGGACAGGTCTTCGGCCACGCGCTGGAACCAGTCAGCTTTCCAAAACCAAGCTGTCAAGGAATGGACACACAGTATTAGTACACACAAGACAACAATAATGACTGTCATGAAAACTGGAACACCCAACTGCTGATCTGCTTGAAATGGCACAATTCACCAGTATGCATACAGAAACCAGAGTGGGCTATTCTCAGCACCAGGTGCAGAGTAGCCCAGTCTGGTGTGTTACAGGAAGCTTGCGTTCATTTTCCACTTTGTACAACCAGCAGCACTGCATGACAATGACTATTTTGTTGATGCTCAAAAATAACGATGATGGAAACGGGATTGCTGTTGATTCATTTTCACGGAGTTGAAAACTCTGGTTATGTATTCCTCGTGTGTTATCACATTACAAGAAAGCAATGTAAACATGTGACACTGATATAGACGCACACACCCACGCACCCACACACAGGCACCCACACACCCACACATGCCCCCCCCCCCCCCCACCCACACACACATATGTGCACTCCCCCCCCCCCCCCCCACATAAACAAACATACATGCAACCCCCGCCACATACACATGCAAGCACAAACACACATGCCTGCAACCCTCAATCGCCCCCCCCCCCCCCACACACACACGCAACCCCCCCCCCCCCCCACACACACGCAACCCCCCCCCCCCCACACACACATACAGCGTTACAAATGCCTATAGCCATGTACACATCCACACAAGCACTGCACGACCATCAAACAAAGAATCAAGCACATACCGTATCCAGTGGCGTTGGATTGCCTGGGTCAACAAACACAAGGGGGTTGCCAGCCTGACAGCTGAAGAATCCTGCAGGACATGGGAGGTAAAAAAAGCAAATTTATGTTTAGGGTTTCAATTTTGGAAAGTTAAAGTTTCAATTTTTCTCACACTTCATCACACCATCCAAAGTTTTCAAACCACAATTACCATCATCACAAATGCCAGGAAAGAATGACACGGCATAGTGTATTAACGTACCTCCAAACTCCACTGCTGTGGCTTTGGTAGCGGATGAAAGCGTGCTGATGCACATTCGCAGCGCGAAACCCATTTTCAGGGCATAGTAGTCGGCTGGGCACGATTCACCTCCCGTGGCCGGGTTGGCACGACGGTAGGTATACAAACCACCGAAGTAGTATCCACTCGTTGCCTGAGAGCCGACTCTCACGCACCAATGCGTTTGATAGATTGCCGTGGCTGATTGGAAGTTCTGGTTACAAATCTGTACAGAGCAAGGAAGACCGTGTATCTCAGCCCTAGCTGTAGTTATGGCTGTGGAAATCAGCTGCTACGGATGATGTCACAACTCCACTACACAGTGCGACTGCAGTGCAACATACCTTAGATAGAGCATACCCCGGATAGATAAATCCCTGGGCAGGACATACCCTAGACACAACGTACCCTGGATACAAGACACCCTGGATACACCATACCCTGGATAGAACATACCCTGGATAGAACATACCCTGGATAGAACAATCCCTGGATAGAACAAACCCTGGATAGAACATACCCTGGATAGAACATACCCTGGATAGAACAAACCCTGGATAGAACATACCCTGGATAGAACATACCCTGGATAGAACATACCCTGGATAGAACATACCCTGGATAGAACAAACCCTGGATAGAACATACCCTGGACAAAACATACCCTGGACATAACATACCCTGGACATAACATACCCTGAGTACATCATACTTCGGGTACAATACCGTATTTCCCCGATTATAAGTCGCACATTTTAACACTAAACTTCATTCCCAACAAAGGGGGTGCGACTTACAATCTAGCATGACATACTACTGAAGTGAATATTATTGAAACGATATGAAACGGACCTGAAAATGGGGATGCAACTTACAATCAAGTGCGACTTACAATCGGGGAAATGGGGTATACCCTCGATACAGCGTATCCTGGGTATGACATCTCCCCCATTTCAACAAGTAGAATTTACAGTTTTACACCTGCCAAGACATGCGCATTTCTCATGGCAATAGAGTACAGCAAGCGAGGCCATCAGCAACTCACCCTGCGCGAGCAAATCTGATGGTTCTGGTAGCCGCACGTGTAGATCAGCCTCTGACACTTGGTATTGGGGTAGTTGATGTTGTGCGTTCCCGTGTGCAGAAGGACTGAACCGTAGCCTGCTGGGCACGAGTAGTCGCCTGCACATCAATAGAAATGAAATGAAAAAAGGATAAACATCAAGCTAACGGGGGATTGACAGGGCCGGACTATACCTTGCCCAAGCACGAATCCTACTCGACCCTGTTCTATAGTGCTACTATTGCAGTCAACAGTGCAAGAAAGGATCCTCGATCGGGCACGAGAAAAGTGATGTGACGTTGAAAGTAGTCACTGTGGACACGAGGATTTTGTTATCCCCACATCTGTTATTCACGAAACTGAATATATCACACAAGGCTGCAGCATGGATTGGTGGTTATCTTATGGAAACACAACTAAAATGCATACATCCTTTTTCATGACTGGAACATATTACCCTTATCATCACACCAAACATAGTCACGAAACATAGTGCCCCCCCCCCCCCCCCATTCCCCTCCAATCGCACACAGATAAAACAGGAGAGGGTATACAAATAGATGTAGGTGGGGGGATGGATGAGGGCATTACCTGTGAGCGGGTTTTTCTGTTGCAGACCCTCGCACACATGCTTAGTGTCGGTGCCCTGGACACTGCAGGTAACGTACACCCCACCCAGATGGTACGTGTTCTTTGCCAGAGTGCAAAGCGAGGTATCGGCAAGGTTAGCCTGAAGAAACAACGAACACATGGTAGCAAACAGGCGTGAGGAGATGTACTTGCATGTACAATATAGGAAAATTACACTCAGGGAGAGTTGCAGCAGCTCGAGAGAGTTCTTGATGCGTCCAAGTGCAGGGGACTTAGTGCTGTCCGATGGTGGCCATTGCGTGAAGCTCCGAGTAACAGCAACATTGCTTTGCTCTCCTTCTCCATGCCCGTAGCATTCAAATTTGGCAGACATGAGCAGGGAAGACTCGATTTCCACATGGCGAGCCACACGCGCATTCCTACTCCGCCGAGATAGCGGCATTCTAACTGAAGCAGACATAAGCGCCACGTGATACTGAATAACTTCTGATGCATCAAACCCGGGAAGGCTGGCCAGAAATTGTGCAACAAAAACTGCTCTTATCTGACAGAACTGCTCTCGTCACAGGGCGAAATCTGTTAGCGTGTATGCTCCGTGTGAGTGGCATTCTGTGGGTACAGTTTCCTGGAGCAAACGGCTTTAAAAAAAGTCTGTCACACCACAGATTATTTGACACTCGAGGTAATTTTCTCCAATTATCATCTTCTTTGCCGGCATACCTGGTAGTCGAAGTTGAGTGATTTCGTGTCGAGACAACCGGGATGTGTGTTGTAGTCAATGTAGGCCTGGGCAATTCTGTCAAGGTCGATCGCCATCTGCACAGGATGGCAACGAACAGTATACACGAGCACAGTGTTCAGACGAAGCTACCAAAACAGCGGGTCTTCACTAACAAACTATACACATATTCACACCAGGAACATACCATATTTCCCCCGATTATAAGTCGCACTCTAATATAAGTCGCACCCCCATTTTCAGGTTTGAGCCATATTGATTGGGTACATTGACTTCAGTAGTAAGTCATGCTCGATTGTAAGTCACACCCCCTTTTTTACCCTTGGATTTTAGTGTACAAAGGTGCGGCTAATATTCGGGGAATTGCGGTAATCAAGCCCCATCCACAATTTTATGCAATAGCCCCCGGAAAATGGGTGTTTTCATGCATTATTGATACCCGCCGCAATGGTGTAATTCCATCGAGTAATTGTCTAGTAAAGACCAGTTGATGGTTGCAATTCAAACACACCTCCAATCAAAGACAGTATGATTTCATGCAGGTTGAAGTGGGTGGCTCAAACACTCCATGATAGACATGATTTTTCAGGATTCATTCAAGGAAGGGTAAGGCCTGATGCATAGGAAACTGGGTTTGGACGGAAATCCGTCCGACACTGGACTAAACAACCATATTTGTAGCTGATCAAAACTGGATTTTAGACCAACTCTGGCGGTTTTGTCCTCTTGGCAAGTGTTTTAAACGTTCAGAGTGTAAAATTCAGCCTGGCTTGAGCCACTGACCCTTCTGACAATGGGCGCTGGCAGTTCGGGAAGCGTGAACTCCGAGATGAGTTCTTGGATGGGGCTACCACTCCGGTCTATGGTGACGAGATTAGCAGGCAGTCCATCTTCCCACTCGTTGACAAGCATTTCCGGCCTGTAGGCTGGACCGCCGTACGTTCTGCACAGAGAAACAGCAACGGATGGCAGCCGATAAGACGTACGGTCGCCTCCACTTACATCGAACTCGCATAATAGAAAATTCCGTGATGTAGCAAACCGCTATCCATGTCCCAGTTTGAGCCCAGAGTGAAAGTGCACTTCTGTTATAACGAACTTCGTCTATGAAGAACCAAATATCCTGCGCAATGGTGTTCATTAGATCAGGAGTCGATTTCATGTATTACGTGTGGTTTTTTAACACATGGCTCAGTTCTCCAGTAGGGTGGTTGCACATCTTTGTCATTCAACAACTGAACTTGTGTAGAAAGCAATCATGGCATGTGGACTGGAGTTGGAACCAAAATGGCTGTCCTGTATGGTCATGTGAGCGATGTGAAGCCACTCAATACACGCACAGCACTGATTCAGATGAAGAGACTCGGTTTTGAGCTCGTACGCCCCTTAATTAAAAAAGATACTCCACCTCAGGACAGCCTGCAACTTTTGATCTTGCTAGGACCCATCAGCAGAAAGCAGAGTGAGTGCTTGTGCGCATGACTGGCATCAGGGTAAAGTTCAATGAAAACTTGTAGAGCAGACCTGCTCTTTCCAGATCACACTGCAATTGTATCAAACCCACTTTTATTATACGGTTTTACAACATCCTGTACATGTACATATGAAATGTATTTCCTGGAATGATGAAAATGAACTCGAAAAGTACAGAGCGGAAAGAGCAGGTCTGATCTGCACCACCGTTTCCATGTATGGAGCTACCTGAAGCCTTCCCACTCTTACTTAGATACTCTAACTTAGATAGAGTCGGCTAAAACAAGTGATCTTCGGCCAACAAACGAGCGCATTCCCTGCTTCCGTGTCAATACTGTACCAGACAATGGATGATGGTACAGTGAAACTTGTCAAAGGCGACCACTCGGAAAAGGCGATCCCCTGTCCAACAAGACCACTGGAACCAGAATCAATGGATGCTATTTCCAGTCAAACGACCCTGGATAAGGAGACCGGTAACAAAGACCACATTTCGAAGGTCCCTTGAGCGGTCGTCTTAGACAGGTTTCACTGTACGAGGAAAAGAATTAGAAACCATGCTTTAGACATGCCCAGCTATACAGTACCTGGTAGTGGATTGTGTTGTGTTGCCACTGAACTGGGTCTCGACTGTTTTGTTCAAATTGAAGTTGAACTTGAATCCAACCTTCGCGACAAAGTTGAACGAGGCTGCAGCTTCGACTGTTACATCTGAGCTCTCTAAGGCCTCCACAAATTTATTTGAAATCTGCAAGTGTGAAATAGAAAAGGCAACAACACATTTTTGGGGATATCATTTTAGTATACCTGATACAATTAAGCAATCTCAGGGTCGCCAACTCAAACACTTAGCAGCGTCTCTTCGCTATATACGTCACGAAACATGTTCACCAAATTAGCCCTTTTAGTGATGTATGCAGCGAAGACGCCGTATTGAGTACTTGAGTTGATGGACCCTGATGTGTGAATAGCTGAAATGGAGTCTGCAAGTAGACGACTCTATCAATCTAGCTAGTAGAGCGAAATTGGCAACATACTACACGGCTTGTAATGTACGGGCTAAGAATCTCTTCAAAGCTCTACCAATGATCAAGGGATGTAGACAAGCAAAGCGGTCTACTAACTCTCGGAGCTGCAACAATCCTCCGTCCCCCTAGGAGACGCTGCAGTTACTCTGCAGGCATTGAGCAGGCTAAATCACTGCCCTTCCACTTGGTGATCCACCAGCCTGCAGTGCTTTCAGAGCGGGTGAACATGTTGAGCCCTGCAGTACAGTGATGTCTCAGTACCGGTCTCCTTTGTATTTCCCATACAAAAGGGGTATGTTTGCGGATGAATGTCTCCTTAGCTGGTAGGAGTTCTCAACTACAGTGTTAACATGGCATTTGTGACTCAACACGGGCTTCACTAGGGAGGTGTGTTTTTTTTGTGTGTGAATGTGTCCAGCACTGATATTAGTTATGAACTACAGTTGAAATCTGATAAGACGTACCCCACGGGAAGCAGGAGACGGTGCTTATCATCTAAGGTACTTCCTATCCAAGTCTGCTTCAGTATAGATCAATACCTTTTATCAGTACTTTTGCAGTGAAACCTGTCTAAGAGGACAGCTCAAGGAAGCTTCGAAACGTGGTCTTTGTTACCAGGTGGTCTCCTTATCCAAGGTCGCTTGACTGGAAAGAGCATCCCTTGATTCTGGTTCCAGTGGTCTTGTAGGACAGGTGGTTGCCTTGTCCGAGTGGTTGTCTTGACAGGTTTCATGGTATTAGTACTTCGGAAAATGTCCATACTATACACAAAAGTACAGTAAAACCTGTCAAGGCGACCACCTGTCCTACAAGACCACTGAAACCAGAATCAAGGGATGCTATTTCCAGTCAAACGACCCTGGATAAGGAGACCACCTGGTAACAAAGACCACGTTTCGAAGGTCCCTTGAGCGGTCGTCTTAGACAAATTTCACTGTATGTTTTATCAGGGTACGTGCTAAATAAATAAATTCAACTCTAACAGTCTTTACCTGCGATTCTTGCACAAACACGCCACCGGCCGTAGTCGAGCGAATAACGTGTGTACCAAAATCGCGGATGATCAGTTCCATTTCATACTCAGCAGCCGCCGTCATGTTGCTCAACATAAGCTCGCCGATGTTCAGCAGGCGATTCTTCAGCGTCTGGGAGAGCTGCGAATCAGCCTTCACCTCGACCTTGTAGAACTCGTGGCGGATCTGTGTTCGGGTTGTGGAGGATTTCTTGGTCACCTATAGGACGGATTGAACAACAGAGGTCACACAGATAGGCAATGCAATCATTAGTCAGCTCACATCTATCCCTGCACAACCTCCCTGCCTACATTGCATTTGATTCTGTTCAAAGCATTCAAAATGAAGACAGTGCTATATTACCTGTCACACACATGCACAGGGTCCCATGTGGCATGCTGGGAATTACAGCTCTGGTCAAAGACTAGGTTAGGTCGTTACAATGCAGGTCATTTGAACCAAACGTACATGTGCTGAATTGACGTCGAAAGTTTTCTAGGGAGTGCATAATTATGTCCCTGTACCCATCACGGGCTGAGCGCCGGGTGGATCGGGGGGGGGGGGGGGGTGGGGGGGAGGGGTTGAGTCTGCGGGACTCCATAAAATTTTGCATATGTACTACTGGTAACCATATGCACATGTACATGTGTGAGCTAATCAGTTTCGGGATAAACTGGAAGCCCCTGTAGAGATCTGTGGATCCGCCGCGTCCGCATACCTGTTCCTTTTTGTTCTTCTGATAACCAACATCGAAACTGCCGGAGAACTTTCCGTAGGAGACGTCAAGGTGCATTGCGCCTGACAAGATGTCCGTATAGTCAGAGAAATGCCTGAACACTTCAGAGAATTGATGCACCTGGATAGTGAGAGGACAACAGGCAGAGAAAGGGAGCCCACTTCAACCACTTTGAACGGGTAAGTTTTATGTATGAAAGAAGGCGACATGACCTTCACCGATAGCGGCAATGGCAACAACGACAACAGCAGCGGTTACAGCAAAGTCACCGCAGCAACGGCAGCGGCAACAGCAACAGTAGCGGCAACAACGACAACAACAACAACATCGTGAGAATAAAGAATTCAAATTCAAATTCAAACAACAACAGCGCAACTTTGAGGCTATCTCTAAATGTACTCTGCAGTCTTTCAGATGTACTGGGCTGTGCAGTAACCATGCCTGCTAAAGCTTCTCAGACTCAATGCTGCAGCACGCTGAGCTGAAGAACACAGTCATTATCCTTGGAGTGAAAATCAGACGGAGTGATTCACTCCTCGCCATGCACGTCCAAACAATATCAACTACACCGGGAAATATTGGCTCTGAGGACGTCAGAGGATCTTTTCTGGTCAACTTCGCCATGCAATTCTGAAGATCATGAGAGACAAGAAAGTGAGCCGCCTACGAGATGCATCATCATAACGCAACTCAACCAGAGTCATACTATTTCACTGCCAGTCTTAAATCTCATCGCTGTGTGTCCAGCACAAAAATGTACAGGACAGTATGCATAGCACTGAGCACTGAGAGAGAATTTCCGACTTGCACTCAGGCCGCCGCCACGTACCGTGCTCTCCTTGAGCGGCACCACCGTGACGCTGTCCGGGATGACGTACTGCAGATCCGGCGTGGTCTTGCACTGCTTGTAGGACAGCGCGATGGCCTGGGCCATGTTCTGACTATTCAGAGAGTCCCAGCCGTTGCCTGGAACAACGGGCAGCAGGCTCTGGACACCTGATGCGTTGAGCATGCACATGCGCAAACACACAGGCACACAGATGCACAGAGAGACAGACAACCAGTCAGATCGGCGAACAGTGTACTCCGCAATGGGTGCTCGCAGCCAAAACTCAAATACAAACCCCATTAATATAGAATAGCTGTAATTAGAACCAAAAGAATCCTAAATTGACCAGACAAAGTGGCATGCGCCAAGGTGCAGTGTATCGAACATGCATCTATGGATCTAGCGGAATCTTGTCATAACTTTTCAGGGCGGTTTCCACTGCACCATGGGCATCCGGTTAGAGAATGCTTTACAATACAGTCAAACCTGTCAAGACGACCACCTGTCCTACGAGAGCACTGAAACCAGAATCAAGGGATGCCATTTCCAGTCAAACGACCCTGGATAAGGAGACTACCTGGTAACAAAGACCACGTTTCAAAGGTCCCTTGAGCGGTCGTCTTAGACAGGTTTCACTGTAATTTGCTTGCGTCACTTACCTGTAATGGAGGCACACTTGATCCACTCTGGTGATACGTCCCCGCCAAAGTTTGTCAGATTGATTTTGCCGGAGGAGGTGGCAGCCGCGGTGCCAGACGACTTGGACGGGGTCGCCGGTTGAGTCTCGTTGTCCTGAGTGCTCGTGTCCGTGTTGAGGTAGTAGTTGACAACGGGGTCGGCTTGTACGAGGATAGTGGCTTGTAGCACAGTCACTAAGAGAATGCTAGCAATGCACTTCTCCATGGCTGCCTTTTCGCCGGTGCTGGGTGTAATCAAGACAAAATGAATACTAACTTTAGTAAGTGCAGCTGGAAACATTCATTCCAGGGAGAATATAAGTGACGTTGCGACCCCGGCGAGGCAATATTTACAACTGTATTGGGTAGACAGTCCAAAGGAGGCATTTAAATTCAAGGATGTCATCCCTCAGAGGCGAATGATTGACTCATGCACCATGCATTCCTTGTCAGGAGTTGAACACGAACAGATAAAAGGTGTCAAGAAATTAGGGCGGGAAATTGGCTTGTCCCAATGGCAACTGGTGGTCCAAAATATCAGGTTTCCAAGTGGAAAATACAGATAATCTAGATATGCGTATCGTGCCAAAACTAAATGAGTAGAGCTTATTTCTGGTTAACACTGTCCAGCGGCGCATACACTTTTTACAACGGAGACAAATTCTGGGTATATCCTCGATGACTTTCTTACTGTGCAGCAACACCCTTGTCCAACTCTACTAAGGGATGAGGACTGTAAACCTTTGCCTATGAAAGTAATGTGAATGATGTCATCGTACATGCAAATTACATCATAGTATATGCTTCATATGGAGTCGAAAGCTCTTATGATGTCATCGTACGGGCATGACATCCATCGTTTATGCTTCATCATGGAGTGGCGAACCGTGACATGCTCGTGATCGCACTCCATACAAAACATCTCACATGATTGCGAAATAGCACAACCACAACATCTAAGAAGAAAGGTAGACCTGAGCCAGCAAGAAAGTTGCTTGGCATTAGCAATGAGCTGCCCAAAGAAATCTAGCGCCCCTTGCTGATACAGTGTGTGGCTGAATCTTCGGAGTGTTCCAGTTTATACTGCGTTATCAATATTGGAAAGTGAAGAACTGTGCATGACACCCAAGTACCGGTAGTTGCGTACTGGATTATTGTCTTGTACACGTGTAAAAATGCATACCAGCAGAGAGGACTGTTTGGGGTATTTCTCTCCAGGGTTATATTTTTTCGGGTACAGCGAACGGGAGTGCAAGGGATCGAGAACGAACTTGGAGGGGGAGGGGGGGGGGGGGGGGCATTCCGGGCATTTATCGTGCTGTTTGCGTTATGCAGAGCTCACTGACTTGACAGTTTGAGCACTCTGGCAAGGTACGTTCGGGCCTGGTTTAAATCTGGCTTTGGAAAATTTATTTTTATAAATTATTTTCCATTGCTACCAGGTTTGGCCTCATTTTCTCTGTGCTGCGCTGATGAGTCCACGAAGGACGAAACAGTTCTGTTTTTGAAACTAACAGTTACTTCCTACTCTAGTGACTCTAACTCACCGTCATTTCCCCAGTGCGGCTTCAGCGTAAGTTCAGGACGGTCCTAAGTGACTTTATGTTGCCTCGAATGCTTTACCACCTACTGGTACATTGAATTTGCTTTCGAAATCAGTCCTTATCTCCACATGAATCCGCCATTCCCATCTAATCTGGCCTTCCCTCTGGCGCGGTGATGGCGTCAGGGCGCTTTTGCTCTGTGCTCACTCAAGCTGGCCACGTAGCGCAGCATACCGGTGCCTGTCTCTGCTCTCAGCATCATTCAAACTGACCTACTCACCAGAAACCAGTCGGGTGTTCTCTAAACACACTGCCACGCGAAGACACAGTGACTTCGTTCGGCTCGACAGTAGTCATTGAAAATAAATTCACTAGCTTCCTTTGCCGTTCGGTCGTTTGAATTAGAGCATTTATAGGGGGGATGAACATGCTTCGATGTGCCAAACTAACTTGGCAAAAATGCAGCGGTTCTAGAACTCAACTGCGAACGTAACGTCGTTGTGTCAGTTCTCAAAAGAGGGTAGAGTGTAGACTACTAGCAGACTACCTCCTGAGTCTACGGTTCTGATCTGGCGAATGGGAATCAACATCGTGACAAATAGAAGATCTACTGAGCTGAGTTTGATCGAGTGCACACTGCCTCGGCGTCTGCGGTGCTAGCATGGGCTGAGACAGTGAGAGACGACACGTCCAATCCGGCGCATGAAATCGTATGTCACGGGGACTTCGCGCTGTTTGTTGGGTAGCGCGGCTAGTCCATGCACCGGTCCGTAGTGACTATTTCTAGTGCTAGTCAGTGTGCCTCATGTTTTGCACCTCGGTGCTAACAGTCAGTTAGTGTTAGCAGATGAGCATCCCACTAAAACAGTTGACAAGACGGACTCAGTTGACGCCTGCTATCCTGGCCTGGCTGTAGCGTAGACGGCTCAGCAGCCTTCTTTTGTCAGTGCGTGTGATATGGATTGCACTTTCAATGGGTAGGCCTCTACGTGGCGTTGACATAGGGCTGAGGGGATGTACCTATATCGGGCAGTGACAAGCAGTTTGGTGCGCAAGGGGGTAGCAATCTTGAGCAACTAGTTTTGCTTGTGTGGAAAACCCTTGGACAGGTATTGCAGGGCAAATAATAGATTCTGAGCTGCTGAATGAGGCGCCTCAGACAAGTATGCTATTTCGGACCACATATTCACCGGCAGATCGTCTTCTGTTTTTGACTGTGGTGCAAAGCTGTGTTTTGTCTGGATTACATTGTCAGCCATTGGCTGGCACAGGTGTCACGCTTACACCTCGGCTGTCTGTTATGCTATCCAGTGGCATTTCGTCCTGTCATATGCAACGAGATGTGTCACAAAGTTTGGTAAGGTCATGGAATGACTTTACCCCCCACCCCCACACACAACCAGCTTTGATGGCCACCTTCAGACTCAACCCCAGACCGCGTCTAACGACTTCTTTTCGTATTAATTTTGTTCCTCTGCAGCACTGTCTGCCTGCCTTCTGGCCCAGTCTGGGTGTGATGGAGGGGACACACACGCCCGTCTACAAGTGTCTGGTCGCTTCCATGATGGCTTCGTACGTGAACCTCCTGATTTCAGGAGTTTTTTAGTTGAATTACCTCATACCAAGACCAGAGTGCTGTGCCTGCGGCTAGAAAGTACAGATTTTTAGGGCCTTTGGCAGAACATTATACTGAAGTTGCACTGAACAATGGGTATATCTAGTACTAGTATGCACAGTATCAGTTAGGGGTCTTCCAGGCATCCCTGCTCTGTTGTTTGCACCCATGTGGAGCAGAAGTCAAGGAAGGGCGTGCCATGAGGTCTGTACGTTCTGCCAATGTCACTGCCTTTTGAGGAAAATCTGCCAATTTGTCGAGCACTATCCGCCTGAGGTTAGCGTGTGGTGGCCACTATTGTACGCACTATCGAGAGCCGCATTTTGGAGTCTTCAAACCATTATTAACTGGCAAATGATAAAAAAATCAGGCTATTTGAAGGATTATTGCGACCATTTCACCAAGTACTGGCAGGGAAGGTGAGCACGTCTATGAATTCACATTGCCCAAGATCCTAAAATAAAAGGAAAGAGACCCTACAGCTCACCTTTCACGATGATTGACGATCGAGGGTCTTGGATGTTTTCAAATCGCAGGCTGAGGAAAAAGAAAAGCACTACATGTATTACAATGACGAAGTATATGTGCCAGCATGATGGCAGGAGTAGGAAACTCTTACAGATTCTCCGACGAGATGACTTTTCCTTCCTTTCTTCGAACCCTTCTGGCAAAGTGTAGAAGGAACTCTCATCGCGACCCTGCTAATAACCGCGTCGGCCCATGTATGTAGAGACTTCCTGCTTAGTATGTTTGCGAGGCATAGCCGGGGAATAGGGTGCTGCATAACCGGGGAACGACGAACAGCATAGCCGGGGTCAGCCCGCTGCATGACCGACTGGGATAGGAGGGTATATGTGTGCTACCAGACGAATTCCACTGCTAGTCAAGGATTCCGTCAAGTGGTGACATCCTCCAGACGGTACACCGGAGG